TCATCACAGTGGTACTCTCACTGTTACCAGTGCCATCACAGTGGTACTCTCACTGTTACCAGTGTCATCATAGCGGTACTCTCACTGTTACCATTGTGATCATGGTGGTACTCTCACTGTTACAATTGTGATCACAGTGGTACTCTCACTGTTACCAGTGTTATCACAGTGATACTCTCACTGTTACCAGTGTCATCACAGTGGTACTCTCACTGTTACCACTGTCATTATAGTGGTACTATCACTGTTACCAGTGTCATCACAGTGGTACTCTCATTGCTACCAGTGTCATCACAGTGGTGCTTTCACTGTCGACAATGTCATCACAGTGGTGCTCACACTGTTGACAGCGTCATCACAGTGGTGCTCTCACTGTCGACAGTGTCATCACAGTGGTGCTCTCACTGTCGACAGTCATCACAGTGGTGATCTCACTGTTGACAGTGTCATCACAGTGGTGCTCTTACTGTCGACAGTGTCATCACAGTGGTGCTCTTACTGTCGACAGTGTCATCACAGTGGTGCTCACACTGCACACACAAACACCATCCACTCACGTGAGATGTGAATTTGCCGCCACACAATTGGACACAGTGACATTTTTACCCCCTGGAACACACGAGGCTGACACTGGAGAATGTCCTGGGTGGAGAGGAGTCCCATGGAGGGGTGTTGAGAGGGATGCCTGAGGAAAGGACCTTGGAAGATCCTAAGGGATGATCCCCAGGAAGCCCTGAGGGGAGGGGGAGGTCCTACTTGATCTCCAGGAAGCCCTGACAGGCGGGGGAGGTCCTACTTGGTTTTAAGGGAGTCATGCGGGGAAGGGAGGTTCTAGGTGGTCCCCAGCCAATGGCTTTGAGGAGTGTGAAAGTTCTAGAGAAGTCCAGAGGGGCTGGGAGGTCCTAGATGGTGTGGAGGGGTGTGGAGGTCTTAGGTGATGGTCCCCAGGAAGCCCTGTATGGCGCGGGGAAGTCCTAGATTATCCCCAGGGAGAAGTCTTGAGAGGTGGGGGAGGTCCAGGATGGTCCCCAGGGAAAGGTCCTGGGGAGTAAGGAGGTCCAGGATGGTCCCCAGGTGATGGTCCTGGGGGAGTCCTAAGGCTCAGGAAGATCTGTAAGGCTTCCTGGATCCTGAGGAACCATGGAAGATTCAAGAAGTTTTGAAACGCTTCCTGAATCTTTAGGAACCAGAGCAGGGAATGCCTGCCTTTTAAATCCGAGTCTGACTCTCTATTAAAGGTTGGAGGATTGAACGTCACACTCTCTGCACTAAATAACCCAAACGTGTTTATCGTTTCATATAAATGTAAATAAAAACCTTAAAAGATGTAGTAGAAGGGTTAGGAAAAAAATGTTCCTGGGAAAGAGGGGAAATTTTAGGGAAATTTCTGTGTGAAGGAGAGTTCCACTGAGAGGATGCTAGGGAATAATGCACACAAAAACTTAGTCCATCTCACTGTGACAAATCATCTCAGAGATCTTTGCAATTTGTCGTCTGCTCAGAGTGGCGACACATAAATGGCTCAGGACACAAAGTTTAAACGAGGCTTTCACTCTCTGGTACCAACTGAGAAGCAGCAGACCCAGCTGCGGCAGGTGGTGGTGTAGATGAAGTCTACTGCTAGATCTCTAGCTAACCATACAAAGAACAAACAGGTAGAAAAGCATTCACTTGAGTTAATGAATGCAAGAGATATCGTAGATATTCTCAAAACAGTTCAGCCGTTTTGCTACACATTAAGAATCATAACCATCATATTAATTGGGAAGTTGCCTATCTTGAACACAAAAAATAATTACGTATATAAACGCAAAATCCTCAAGTCGCCTGTCATTACATCATGACCCAACATTAACATTTCACAAGGGCAGTGGAAACCTGATGCTGTAACTAGTTTTGCCATAAAGGTACAAGATCCTATGCTTGACCTAGTTCTTGAACCTGACTTGACACCTGGACCTAACCTGTTTCCGCATCCTATGCAGATCAGGTGTTTCACTTCTTAGACTGGATCCCACTTCATCATCGACATTCTGCATTCAAGAGGGAGTTGGACAGGTATCTAAAGTCAGTAACGGACAAGCTGGGCTATGGTTCGTACGTTGGACTGTATGGCCAGCAATAACATTTTGGTTGATCAGGCCCTGATCCCAAGAGGCCTGGTCAAGGACTGGGCAGCGGAGGCGTTGACCCCGGGAACATCCTCCAGGTAGCCACTGGATGCCATCATCTAAGACCAGTATCATGACAGATTCTGACAAAGAATATACAAACACCAGCTTGTACACTCAGATCACTGAATCCAGTACTGATAAATCAGCAGACGTCGATGCTATAAGGACATCAATCATCTATTGCCGAGCCCATTCCAAAATACCGGCACCACTAAGTTCCGAGAGTTTCTCTACTCCCAGAGCCCGGCCTTGAGCCGGGCTCGTCTGGTGAACGGCTCATCATATGAGAGAGAGACTCGTACCAGGATTAACTCACTGTAATTAATATGCTATTAACACCAACACTTAAAAAATGTGGTGAAGAGGCCTCAATGTGAGGTCGAAATATACAGTACGCATGTTACCTTCTATTTTGCTTGGTTAGTTAATTTAATTCATTACAAATTTCTCATATTTTGTCAACGCTTTATTGTATTTCTAACGTCTTGTAATGATTTGTTCATTGTTATGTCATATTCCAGAAATGTATCGTAATGATGGTGATTGATTTGTCACCGAAACCTTAATTATGAGCTTCAATAAATGTTTCAAGATTTCAAGCTTCTCCCGCCTGCTATGAATTACACACACATTCCTACCTCTGATTTAGTGTTGCTCAGCAAGATAGCGCTGCTAAGCGAAGGAAATAACACAGGTTTAACAAGTGGAGGGACATGGCCCACCGGTATAACTTTGTCCCAACTGGAATGAAAACCCTTGACCCTGGGGGGGAAAATAGTGCACGAAGTTTGCTCAAAGAATTGAGTTTCAAGCTCATTCATAAAACCAAAGACCCAAAGAGCGACTTCCTGTGTCTTACTGTGATGATTTAGAGGTGAAATGCCTGTTGCCTGCTTGTTTCTTGCCCGATCTCTCAGCAGTGAATAGAACAAAAAATTAATCATAGACACGATAGAATACAGCATTCCCAGTATTTCAAATTCTAACATCCCCTTTTGTGTTCATGCCTACACTTCTTCAAACTTCTTGCTTATACCACTTATGCTTGCTACGGACATTGCTTGCATGGGAGCAAATACACACCCTTGCCAACTTTCTCATTTTATTTTTTCATTTTTATTACTTTCAATACTGCTATAATAGTCTCACAATGACTAATCTTATGTCGTTATGGTTCTCATAAGGTAGCAACAACCATTTAATATAATCTTCAAATATGTGAGAATCTGAACTTTGTAAAAATATTTTCTGACAGTGAAATGATCTTGTGAGATAACCCAAAGTGGGTAAAGTAGATCTCCGAGAATACTACAAGTTTTACATATTTATCATCTAAATAACTAGCATGACACATACAATAAGCTCTTAAGAACAATATTACTAATTCTTTAACTTGTTAGCCAAATCTGGCAAAGTCACGCGTTACCCATACACGGTTAATTTATATTCCACTGATTCCAGCTCATTACAGCGTAATGATACTGGTTCTTTGTTAATTAGTGATATTCCTGGAGTCTGGCTGTGTGGATAAAGTACTGTGTACTCTGATGCCGAGTTTACAGGTTCGAACCCTGCTGTGGACTGAGGGATAATGTTTGTAAATAATTTCGCCTCTTTGCGAATTGTTAAGCATACACATACATGTCGTTAACCATACATATTGTTAAGCATATATATGTCGTTAAGCATGCATATTATTAAGCATGTAAATGTTAAGAATATATATAGTCGTTAAGCATATAAATGTTGTTAAGCATACATATTATTAAGCATATATATGTTCTGCCAAATAGATAAAATGGTCAATTAGCAAGAACTCATTTAAAATTAAGTCCTTTCTAACATTTTTCTCTTATACATTTAAATATATATATTTTAATTAATGTTATTATAAAAATTAATGATTTTGTGCCAAAAGAACCTTAGGAAACTTACCTAACCTTATTATAACAAGCGCAATTTAATTTAGCCTAATCCAACTAAACATATTTTATATAGGTTTACAATAATTTAATAATAAAAACACAATGAAATATATTTTTTTCGTTAGGTTCAGAAAAATTTCTGCGAAATTATTGCATACACAAATTTTCACTTGCCTTATTTAAGCCAAACTCGCACGTTTTACCTATTCGGCACGATACACACACACACACACACACAACACACACACACACACACACACACACACACACATATCCATAGGGAAGTGGAAAAGAATTCTTCCTCCGTAAGTCGTGTGTGTCGAAAGAGGCGACTAAAATGCCGGGAGCAAGGGGCTAGTAACCCCTTCTCCTGTATAAACTAAATGTAAAGAAGAAAAACTTCCGTTTTTCTTTTTGGGTCACCCGGCCTCGGTGGGATACGGCCGATTCGTAATCTGTAATCTCCTGATTAACGATGATAATTAATAATTTACATAAACCATATTATGGTGTCATTTATTGATTGTAAACAAAGTACAGGAATCCATCCTCAGAGAACTTAAGTAAATTTATCACATATGGATTGCAGCACATTTTAAGTTAGGTGAGGCTAGGCTAAGTTAAGTTGTCCTCCATCCATAAAAAAAATATACATAAATAGAAAATAGAAAAAATATAAATATAAAATAGAAGGGGATAAAAATGTTTACGATACGAATTGAAAACGGGCAGCCACTGCACGTAGCCTGAACAAATCATTCATAATTCATCTGTCCAAGGCGTCTTCAACAGTCACCCATTTGACTGTCATTTCATCTGTGACGCAATATCTGTCGAGGACCGGTTGAGTGCAGATAAAAAATGTTACCTTGTGAAGTGAGATAAATGAAGTGGTACTCACGTGGCTTTGCCCTCCCGGAGAAAGAGGCAGGAGAGGGTGAGGTCGAGGGAGGCTGAGACCACCTTCTTGCTGAGAGGACGTAGTTTCACCTTGACGTCGTGCTGAGCGCTAAACCCAGCGTACTGCTTCATGTTGATCTGCGCTGTTGCTACTTGACGCCGCTTACCCGTCGACGACACCTGTACACAAAACACTCATGTTACTGCTGCCTCTCTATGATCCCACCCTAATGTTACTGCTGCCTCTCTATGATCCCACCCTAATGTTACTGCTGCCTCTCTATGATCCCACCCTAATGTTACTGCTGCCTCTCTATGATCCCACCCTAATGTTACTGTTGCCTCTCTATGATCCCACCCTAATGTTACTGCTGCCTCTCTATGATCCCACCCTAATGTTACTGCTGCCTCTCTATGATCCCACCCTAATGTTACTGCTGCCTCTCTGTGATCCCACCCTAATGTTACTGCTGCCTCTCTATGATCCCACCCTAATGTTACTGCTGCCTCTCTATGATCCCACCCTAATGTTACTGCTGCCTCTCTATGATCCCACCCTAATGTTACTGTTGCCTCTCTATGATCCCACCCTAATGTTACTGTTGCCTCTCTATGATCCCACCCTAATGTTACTGTTGCCTCTCTATGATCCCACCCTAATGTTACTGCTGCCTCACTATGATCCCACCCTAATGTTACTGCTGCCTCTCTATGATCCCACCCTAATGTTACTGCTTCCTCTCTATGATCCCACCCTAATGTTACTGTTGCCTCCTATGATCCCACCCTAATGTTACTGCTGCCTCTCTATGATCCCACCCTAATGTTACTGCTGCTCTCTATGATCCCACCCTAATGTTACTGTGCCTCACTATGATCCCACCCTAATGTTACTGCTGCCTCTCTATGATCCCACCCTAATGTTACTGCTTCCTCTCTATGATCCCACCCTAATGTTACTGTTGCCTCTCTATGATCCCACCCTAATGTTACTGCTGCCTCTCTATGATCCCACCCTAATGTTACTGCTTCCTCTCTATGATCCCACCCTAATGTTACTGCTGCCTCTCTATGATCCCACCCTAATGTTACTGCTGCCTCTCTATGATCCCACCCTAATATCTATCCTTCTTCAACCTAACTCCCTTCCTCTCTCTCTCTCTCTCTCTCTCTCTCTCTCTCTCTCTCTCTCTCTCTCTCTCTCTCTCTCTCTCTCTCTCTCTCTCTCTCTCTCTCCCTCTCTCTCTCCTCTCCCTCCTCTCTCCCCTCCTCTCTCTCCCTCCTCTCTCTCCCTCCTCTCTCTCCCTCCTCTCTCTCCCTCCTCTCTCCTCCTCCTCCTCCTCTTCTCCTCCTCTCTTCTCCCTCCTCTCTTCTCCCCTCCTTTCCCCTTCTTCTCCCTCTCTTCTCCCCTCTCTCTCCCCCTCTCTTCCCCCCTCTCTTCCCCCTCTTCCCCCTCTCTCTCCCCCTCTCTTCCCCTCTCTTCTCCCTCTCTCTCCTCTCTCTCCCTCCCTCCTCTCCTCCCTCTCCCCCTCTCTCCCTCTCTCCCCCCTCTCCCCCCCCCCCTCTCCCCCCTCTCTCCCCCCCTCTCTCCGTCCGCCTATAAGTATATCAATAAAACAATGTTGGATGATCTGCGGCATCTCACTATGAGATAAATCTCACGAAAATACATCACATCAAGAAGTGCTTCTTTTTTAAGGTGTCAGTATAAAGAACTGAAGCATTATGCAATTACATTCACATAAGACAAGACTGCAGCTCTTGCCCAATGGAAATAAGTCACTCACTCTGACTTTTTTGGGTTATCCTAGGTTCTCTACACATATGCTGCTATGTATGATAATTCTATGTAACTGTATTTGTGTATACCTGAATAAACTTAATTACTTACTTACTTACTTACTTACTGCCTGAAACCTGGGAGAAAACCTAAAGAAAACTTCAAAGAAAACGGAAACTGACCAAGAGATGGAGAAACTGGTGAAGCAGTAGTTCTAGATGATAATTTTCCCACCTGACAATCCACATAGGTTTTTATGGGAGCTCAGAGGACAGGTTGCAGCATAATTTCCATTGTTCTCTATTTATTAATATAAATAAAAAAAACAGAAGAGCTTTACTAAGAACAACATTTGGTATCAAAATTTTCAGAAATGAACCAGTCGCTACAAATCTTACTAAATACATACGTAGAAATAAACATAAATCTAAATAGGTTGTGAAAACATGCATTTATATTATATTTTATAAATTGCACGAACTGTATCACTGTAGAGAACAAGGAAATTTCACCCTTCATGGAAGTTGTGTTCATTTAATATTACATACCAGCAAGCCCCTCCCTCCCCCCCCCAAGAAAATCATCACTAGTAATCCCTTCCTTAAATTACTTGCAAAGGCAAACCATACCCCAGCCGGGATTGAACCCGCGGTCAGAGAGTCTCAAAACTCCAGCCCGTCGCGTTAGCCACTGGACCAGCTAGCCACAATAAGATTCATCCAACTAGGTATATTTCTACACCATAGGAAGGTTAGCACAGGCACCACTGTGACCACAAATGCAAATTTTTACAGACGAATCTCCAGCTAGCGTGGCCGTGACGAACTCTAGCTCAAGTCCCTTCACTGCCGTCAACATGACTCACGAAATCGTAATGACACGATTGCAAACAAACCATACCCCGGCCGGGATTGAACCTGCGGTCAGAGAGTCTCAAGCTCGTCGCGTGTCATTACGATTTCGTGAGTCACTTGCAAAGGCAATTGTTCGAGAAGAAATTTCTGGCTTAACTGATAGTAATAATATATTACAAATTGTATACAATGATGGATGTAAGCAGTCCACTAGGAGGCTGCACCTGTTCTTGTTGCTATCTCTCCACACAAGAATAACAGGAACTATGTTGAGTAAGTCATAGAAATTAACAACTGAGCGTCTGTACTTGATTGTTTACCATCCTAACAGCACCTGAAGTTAACTAATGACACCGAGCGTGACTCTTTTATTATTACTGTTACCACTGGAAGCTTTTGACTCAAATAATAACTAGAACAACAAGCTCATTGGAGAAGCCAGATATAAATAAAAAAAATGCGGAAAAAATAATTCAATATACAATATTTATGGCTTCTATCACACAGTGAATTACTCCTCCATGATAAAGTTAATATATTAGCCAAAGAAAGTACCCTGAAGAAAAATGTAGAATATAACTTTAGTATGCCAGTGTATCATTAGGAATAATATTAGGATAGGCATAAATAATGAACCTGAACGCTGCAGGTATGTAGTTAGAAGCCTGAGTAGATAGATCTATCACCCACTATGATAACATGAACGTAGATAAGTACATTTATGGAGCAACCTGCAATATGAATAGACCGGCCAATGTTGTAGTAGCCAGGGTTAGACTTGGTTACAAGTACTTCTGGAAGTTTAGTAGACACAAATGACGGATATGGCGCTGCATAATAAACTAGCCACTTCAGCGGCAAAATCTAATCTATCGCCCATAAAATGAAAAAATAAACCTTTTCTGCTCCCGCAGCCCGGCCCTGGGCCAGGCTTGTCTGGCGTTTACCTGGTCAACCAGGCTGTTGCTGCTAGCTACCCACTGGTCCACATATCCATCATAGCCTGGTTGATTCGCCACTTGGCGGTGGTACATCTCCGATTTCCCCTGGAATAATTCTACACTTGTTTCTGGCAGTGTACTGGGAGTGTTTCTGATATTTTATAAAAACCGTGGTCTATGACCACGGTTTTTATACAGTATTTTTTATTATTGTGCCCACGACGTCTCCGCTTTTCACCGAGTTTATTATATAATTTCTGCCACATCTCTCGTGCCAATATGTTGTTATGGCAGTGTGGAGATTTAAGATTAAGCCCTTAAGTACCTTCCACGATTAAATCATAATTATTGCTGGAAAACGTCACTTTTTGTTTCTTTTTATCTACCTTAATACAGGCGCATTTTCATGAAAAATCAAGTTTTTTGAAAAGTTGCTGAAATTCAGTAGGGCTCATGGCTTGGTAGTGCCCTCAGCTCTCACATTAGGGGACCTGAGGTTTGATTCCCAGCACGACTGGAAAACACTTGAGTATGTTTCCTTACATCTAGTGCCCTTGCTGACCTAGCAGTAAGTAGGTAATTCGGTGTTAGAAGATTAGTAACAATACAACAATCTTTATTTCTGCAAGTACAAGGTATACAGACCTAGCTGACATTAGTGACACACTAATATATAGAAAGCCACTTGTTATGCAGAGTATTTTGGGCAAATTAGGACAATTCTGTTCCTAGTATGCGATACACACTAGTTGACTAACACCCAGGTAAACAGGGACAGCAGGTGGCTTGAAGAAACACGTTAGGACGTGTTTCCTTAAGACACCTGCTGTCCCTGTTCACCCGTACCAGTGATCGAACCCAGACATCAGTGTGTGTGAGCTGAGTGCGCTAGCAATTTTCTCCATCCTACAGAAGAGAAAAATAAGGATCCCAATGGAAATTAGTTAAACAGTGTAATGAGAGTGTAACGACAGTGGCTTTACTGGGTTATCCTGAGTCACTATCTAGCTTAATAATCTCAACAAACTCATCATTATCATCTTAGTTAAAATTTATCAATAAAATCAAAGCTCAAAAAACTCAACTTCCTTTTGAAAAGTTTTATTTTACATTTTACATTATTAAAAAAGTTTGCTGAAATTCAATGTTTTAGCTGCGCCAATGTAAATAACTCGCTTTGATTTTTGGGGGTTATCCTAGGTAATTTACACGTGTTAGTAAAATTAATAATAATCTTTATTTCTACATTATTATTATTATAATCAAAAAGAAGCGCTAAGCCACAAGGGCTATACAGCTGTACAGTGCACAGAACTAGCTGACATCACTCACACACTATATAGAAAGCCCCTGGTTATGTATAGTATTTCGGGCAAATTAGGTAACTGACTCACGAAATCGTAATGACACGATTACATTATTATTATTATTATTATTATAATCAAGGGGAAGCGCTAAACACGGAGGATTATACAGCGCCTGGGGGGGGGGATGTGGAAGGCATTCAGGCTTAATTCGGGGAACTGGAGCACAGATCCAATTCCCTAAATCAAGAGCCCCTCACCAACATCAAGGAACCTTCCTTGAGGGGAGACACGATTACAAACCACGGTACGGTTGGGATTTAAACTCACGGTAAGCGAGTCGTAAAACTCCAGGCCAGTGCGTAAGCCACTGGGCCACCTGTTTTTTTTTTTTTAATTAGGTAAATTTTGTCCCCAGGATGCGACCTACATCAGTCGATTAACACCTAGGTACTTATTTATGTAATTATAGGTAAATAAACTTAGTTAATACCGGCCCTTCGGGTCGTCAGGTAGGGAAGAGATTGTATCTAGGGTGGTGATAAGAAAGGTTTGCGAAACACTGTTCTAAGGTAATGTACAAATCAGTAAGTATACATAGGCACCGTTCTCTGTAAAATGAAAAAAAATCGTTTTCTATAATTCCTGTTGGATAAACTCATCTCGAAGCTTTTCGACAATTTTTAAAGTGTGAGTGTGATGACTAAACCACGTTAGTCTCAATGGTTCTTGGTAATACTGCCACTGCAGGAAAAAAGTACCACTAGTCAAATTCAAGCTAAGACCGCTGCATTTATCTTGATAACTGTCTAGGTATGTGTAAACCAATGTTGTTAATTCAGAACTATGATGTAACGACGAGCAGAGCCCTACATCATCACCCTCTAAATTAAATATTTTTTTTATTTCTTTGCATAGTTTACAATGTGTGGCTTACATGTTATATTGTTAAGTACAAAGAAAGCCACTAACATGCCTGAGCATTTCGGGCATTTCTAAATAACTCATTTATATAATTACTTAAGTATATGTACTTACCTAATTGTGTATACGTGTATGTGTATGCATGTATATGTATTTACCTCGTTGTGCCTCAACCCTTAACATCGACAGGATTTACTAAATCCTTCGCCTCCAGGACCCGAACATATCTACTCATGAAACTATGTACAGTATTTGCCCTTCTACTGCACTCCATATGCGTACTAATTTTGAAAACGTATTCCCTAACGTCCCTATGGTTCATCTGCATATTCTGCTGTCATCTGTGTCCCTGGTTCCTTCTCTTCGCGTCTCCAATAAATGCCTCCATCCACTCTATCTAATCCTCCAAGTGTTTTTTTATGATCTCATTACGAGTCTGTCCCCTCTGGTTCGCCTCTCTTGTACTGTTAGGTTGAGTGCTTCAAATCTCCACGTAGTGCATCCTTCTCAGCTCTGGCACCAATCTTGTGGCGAGCCACTGAATCTTCCCAAGTTTTTTATATGTTTGATCAGGTGGGGGCACTATGCTGGCGCTGCATATTCTAAGATGGAGCTGTATATAATGTCCTAAACCAGTAGTTCCCAAACTTTTTCAGGCTGCCGCCTCCTTGGCTACCAGGCCACATCCCTAGCGTCCCCTTCCCCCCCCCCCACACACACATACCAACACACCTATACAAGTGCCTTTGATAAAATGGTAACACAACTCTTTCTTTGAGTTTACTGCAAATTCAAAACAGCAACCTAATACTATAAACATGCGTATTTATTTTACAACTAAAAAATTAACTTAGTAAGCCAATTTATTTAACAATATGAAAGGGTAAAGTTACATCTCCTCTGTAACTACATTGTCTTCACAGTTTTAATAAGACGGATGTGCTTGATGCAGGAACATCAGTCTCTCAACATCATGCTTGAAGGCACTAAGATCCCCGCGTTCACTAATTTTCAGTCCGTTTCTTTGCTTGAAAAGTAAACTTAGATCTATTAAATATGATATTGGAAAGGCAATAAAGTACATTTGACTTTGTTCCACACTGCAGAGTAGCGGTCAGCAACTTTTTTTTTTTTTTTTTGGTAACTAAAAATATTGATGTTTTTCTGAACTTTAGTCTCAGGTCGATGTCATTTTGGAGTGAAATCAGTTCTTCCTCCACCAATCCTGTTTCCTTGGTGCTGATATCTAGGAATGAACTGATCATCCAGTCTGGCATTTTAAGCAAAAAAAAAAAAAAAATTCTGAAATCTGTCAGACATTCTATGCAGCTCATTCAGGTGTGCACAAAATAAAATAATACTACTTTCGTGTATAACTCTATGTTAATTTTACTCTTTGTCAAGCATTTGTGTTACTTAAGTATTCGTGACGTTCCCTTGGTTCCGATGCCACCCTGTCACCCCTCCCTACCGCCCCCTTTTTCCTCAACGCCCCCACTCCCTGGATCTTACAACCGCCCACTTTGAGAATCACTGTCCTAAACGAAACGAATTCTTGCTCAGGTACACAATGGTTTAATTATATTCCTGTCAACAAAGGATAAAAGGTTCAAAGTGATTGTTGAAGTTATGATGTGGGAGTACATAAGTGAGTATGTGTACTGAGTATTTAGAGTTTAGTCTAGGGTGATTAAGTGGCTTTTGAGAAGAGTCTTAAACTGATTTTCAGACTGGGTAACTTTAATATCTTCTAGTAATGAATTCCATATTTTAGGGCCCTTTATGTGCATAGAGTTTTTACACAGTGTGATAAGGACACGAGGTATATCAAAAAGAGATCTGTGTCTTGTGTTGTGGTCTTGCACAAGGGATGAACATGGAGAACATATTATAGCTAAATTTAAATCAAAAGACCTGCAAAAATCCCTCAGTGATAAACGTTTACAGAGTACCACAGTCAAGCATTTACCATTTTAGTGAAAAATTAGGAAACACAATAACTGATGCACATATGAACAAAGACCACTTGCTGCTTACAGGAGATTTCAACATAAATCTACTACATGACCAGGACTCACAAGTAACTGAATTCACAAACACTATGAGTAACTGCCTGTTGCTATCAACAATAACAAAACCTAGAAGATTCTCTGAGACTAGTATCTCCTTATTAGACCACATCTGGACTAACACCATATCCCCTTTAAAATCAGGCATAATCACAGACAACACCACAGACCACTACCCTTCCTTTCTCATAACCAACCTAGGTAAATTGCCCCAAGACGCTACTAAAGTAACCTTTGAAGAGTTTCGAGAGTTATCTACTCTCCAAGCCCGGCCATGGGCCAGGCTCGTCAGTAGGAATGAGGGGTACCCATCAGCTCACGCATCATATATATCTGTATATGTACACACTGAGGTCCGTGGTTCGATCCCCAGTACTGGTGGAAACATCTGGGGTTGTTTCCTTAAGGCAACCTGATGTCCCAGTTCATCTAGCAGTAAATAGGAACCTGGATGTTAGCCAACTGGTGTGGGCCGCATCCTGGGGACAAAACCTAATTTGCCCGAAATGCTCTACATAACCAGTGGCTTTCTATATAGTAAGTCACTGATGTCTGCTAGGTCTGTACTCACATTGTACTCACCTAATTGTAGTTGCAGGGGTCGAGACTCAGCTCCTGGCCCCGCCTCTTCACTGAACGCTACTAAGTCCTCTCTCTCCCTGCTCCATGAGCTTAATCATACCTCATCTTAAAGCTATGTATGGTTCCTGCCTCCACTACATCACTCGCCAGATTGTTCGACTTCCTGACCACTCCATATGACTGTATCATGTACTTAAAGATTATTATTATTATTATTATTATTATTATTATATTATTATTATTTATATAAAAAAAATTGATCATGGCGTTATAGTTTAGCTGAAAAATAACGCAGACTTGTATAATGCCGATAACATCGTCGTGTCTTAACTGGTGAAAAGCCTATATATGTATAATATAGAGCATATCGTTTTAAGTTAACTGAAAAAAATAGATGTGTATGATACTAAAGAATGAACCATAAAACAGACGCAAAACACTCAGTAGAGCATAATATTAATGCGAGGGACTTAAAAGTAATACGTAATGTCAGATCACACATTCAAAGATAAATTGTTACATCCACAAGGAAAATGATAGGCTGGATAACTAGAACCTTCATAACAGAAATGTCAAGCTAATGGTGATATTCTAAGTCACTTGTTCGCTCTTGACAAAATGCTATACACTAACGGCCACTTATAAGGCAGGCGAAAGTGCCCGTATAAATTGTCAAGCACCTAAATTATTGTGACATCCCTCAAAATGTACTCCCTGGAACTTGAAAGAGAAGATGTACATCAAAATTTACACATTGGAATCTCTGAAGGGATTGGTCCTTAATCTGCTCACCAAAATTACTTTCTATGAAAGCCAGAGGCTTGGCAGACGGTGTAAAGTACTCCCGATAAAAAGTGTATGTGGAGATAACTCAATAAGTGGGAACTAAGAGTCTTAAACACCTTTTCAAACTGAAGAGAAATTACCACCAGGCCACTAGACGTCTTCAAGAAGGAAATTGATAAGTTGCTCAAATTAATTTCTGCTCATCAGAGCTGTCGTGCATACGATGGACTATGTGCGGCTAGCATTAATAATCGCCACCCTTCACCACTCTCTCTCTCTCTCTCTCTCTCTCTCTCTCTCTCTCTCTCTCTCTCTCTCTCTCTCTCTCTCTCTTTTTTTACACAGGGTTTAACAAGGTTAAGGATCCCTAGCTTTATTGACAAGCTATTTACAGGTTAAGGATTCCTAACTTCATTGGCAAGCTAAGAGCTGTTACCTACATCAGCTCATTTGAAAGCATTTTTATTGTTATGAGACATACAAGTAGGGAGCAGGATGAAGTTGGAGCCATCTGTGGGCCAGCATTTTCATTTGATCAACTGACTTTATCTCGTTGACATCATTATGCTGTACGAATGTGTTCCATACTCGAGTCATCCTGGGTATATATGATCTCAGATGGAGTGATGTTCTGGAGAAGGGTACAGCCAGAGTGAAGTTGCTGCTTTCTGCCCGTCTTGTGGCATAAAAGCTTGTTTCACGCTGTCCTCGAAGTGGATCCAAGTGTGGTACTTTGACAATATTGGCCTTGTACATAACAGTAAGGCCACCCACATCCCTCCTATGCTCTCTCTCTCTCTCAACATGATCTAAACACTACTCACATCCTCGACGACGAAGGTCCATTCCTTGTCCTCGAAGTCGTTGGTACGGTTGTCCCTGAAGAGCGTGACGGTGATGGCAATGTTGGCTGGTACAGCCCACACACACAGCCCCTCCAGTGGGTTCCTCATGGATGGCTCCCACGCCGGAGCCTCCTGCACCACACGACGTGTGCGACGTAGCCAAACCACGCTCAGCTGCGTCGGCTGCCTGAAACATACACACAAACACATACGATAAAAAGTTTTGGCGCGAGATTAGAAAACAGGGACTTAGCCATACACTTAAGAAAACTGAAATCTACCAAGAACTCAAGAAAACCGGGATCTACTAAGCACTCGAGAAAACAGGGACCTACCACACTCAAGAAAACAGGGACCCACCAAACACTCAAGAAAACAGGGACCCACCAAGCACTCAAGAAAACAGGGACCCACCAAGCACTCAAGAAAACAGGGACCCACCAAGCACTCAAGAAAACAGGGACCCACCAAGCACTCAAGAAAACAGGGACCCACCAAACACTCGATAAAACAGACCCGCCAAGCACTCAAGAAAACAGGGAGCTACCAAACACTGAAGAAAACAGGGAGCTACCAAACACTTTTACCTTTGATATACCTTTGATGAGTTCAAGAGTTTTTCTCCTCCCAGATATATAGGTGTGGTACACAGGTGATTCACAAGTGTTGTGTAGATGTGGTACATACAATAGATGGGAATTACACAAGTAATATATTACCAATTTCAAACAATAAAGTTAAAACATTACAACTCTACTGAATCAATTAAATTACAAGAAAATTTCTTACATGATATAATCCTGAGTATATAAACAGAAGAAATAGTTTAGTTAATGGTGAGGGAGAAAAAGAAAACGATACCACCCGTCGTTGGAGAAGCATGGGAAGACGTGTGCAAGGTAGCCCCCCCCCCCCTCCAACTTCCTCCTCCTCCTGCATTTTCACTTTAGTAAGTTTTTTAAGGCACACGTATACATAAGTGCAATTATGATACATAGTGTAAATTACTTAGGATAGACCCCCAAAAAAGTCAAAGTGATGCGGAAGCGCTGAACTTGTAGCTGTCACATAGCGCCAAGCTAAGCCCAGTTCCCTGGATCAAGAGCCCCCCCTCACCGTCATCAAGGAACTCGAGAGGTCCGAGTTCAAAAAACAGACTTTCTTCAGATTATAAAAAGACTATTCGGATTATTACCCTGGAGGACTATTAACCCAGGATAACACAAGAAAGTCAACCACTGTAATTTCCACTTCAGGTCTTCATAAGAACCCCAGTAAAAATAAATCACTGAATTTTTTGGGTGGTAACTTATGTTAAAGTCTACAAAATTAGCACCAAAGCTAGCGTTATTATTGCAGCTATTGGATAATAGTCTGCAAAACTATCTGTAAGGTAAATATGTAAAGATTCGCTTAATGTGCCATTCACGTCAACCTATCTGCTAGATGAAACCATACTCCCGGCCGGGATTGAACCCGCGGTCATAGTCTCAAAACTCAAAACACACACACACAGCGTGTGTGTAGATAAATGGTTCTCTGAACTATTTATCTACACACACGCAACACACATGTGCAGCACTTGGTTCGCCACATAGTGGCTTCATCAGTCCAATACAAGAATGGTTGAAAGTCAGGAGTTTGAGGTAATCAGTCCTTCAGACTGGAGTTAATGTAATTAAACAGCGTGTACAGAGATAACGCTTATCCTTACGTTTCTTCCCTTCCAAGACTGTAATTGTCAACTTATGTCACCACACGGCATACAAGACTTGATAGCTCTAGGGGGATTTTCAACATACTATCTGCTGTTCCATTGGCCGTCCTTACCAAGACGTTTATTATGCATTAACGATGATCTAATCAATTAAACCTATATAACGAATGTACAGAAATCGCAAGAATAAATATGTAAAACCCTAACGCTTTTATTGTTGAAAGTTGTAAATGGTATGGTGATACCGACAAACTGTGGAAGAGGACACTTGTGTACAGTTCAAGACATTTATTAAAGGAAACGTCACGACTGTCTTCATCAAAGCGTTCATATTCATATAACAGGTTTGCCAGGACGGGTCCTGGCCCGGGTCATATCCATGTGGTGACTCGGCAGTGGCTTCTGAAGGATGGTCAGAGTTGGTACAAGTGATGTACCGTTTACAGCCCTATGGCGGAGGCAGCCGTATAACAAGGGCGCGGTGAACCGTCGTTGTGTCAAGTGGAGTATCAGAGTAAGCTTGATTTTACCTGACTGATTCATCAGGAACTGCGTCCTGACACGGGTCTTAATCTTAAGACGACCCGATGAGGATCTCGAAGGAGACTGTCGATATAATTCAGCTGTTCTGTGACAGCGCCCCACGGCGAAAATTTTATGTTCAACAACGGGCTGAAGCCATCAGGCCCCCCATCTGGCGTAGCTGTAACGAGTGCAGTGATGGTACCATAGTGTGAGTGGTGTGAGAGGTGATTTCCCTCATGTTTGGGTGTGGGTGATTTACCTCATGTTTGGGTGTGGGTGATTTACCTCATGTTTGGGTGTAGGTAGGTGATTTACCTTATGTTTGGGTGTGGGTGATTTACCTCATGTTTACATGTTGATGAAGAATGAGACACTTATGTCATATGTTGCATAAGTGTCTCATTCTTCAACTTGTCGGTTTTCTAACCCATTTATTAAATGTTGATACCTGGTGACACACCAGGCTTCTCTACTGACCACCTGGTTAACTAGGCTGTCTGAACTACTACCCTGCCGGATCACATAGCTTTCACAACCTATCTGATCAGCACTTATAGAAGGAAGCTGTGTAGTTTCTTGAAAACTTCTACCTTCGTTCTGGCAATATTTCGGTTTGCTGGCAACTTGAAGAATCTTGGACCATAGATCTGACACAGTGTTCTCTAACTGTACGCAGGCATTCTTTGCTCTTCATTCGATTTCTTCAACATTTTCTTCCATAGTTTTTTCTCCAGTAAGTTCTTACAGCAGTGTACAAGTCAGGGGGCCCGGCACTCAAGTATCTTCCATATGAGCACAAAATAACACTCAAGTCGTGAGAGCACAAGTTATATGTCAAATTGCCATCACAGGCGTTGATTTCTCTTGTTTTTAGATATTCATAATCCAATCTCATCTTTCTTTGGCCTTTGCTGCACTTATAGTGTTTTCCAAATAATGTATCTAACACATTAATTTCGAAGTCTTTACATGCTCCTTACCTTCTAAGTTATGATCTTCCTGCATTCTGTATACTGAGGTCATTCCTCACATACTTAAGCAGCTTAAATTTTTCAAAGTTGAACTTTGTTATTTCAATTCGACAAGTGGGAAACGTTTTTTGATAAATGTGTGCAGTTTTGTCAATAACTGTTTGTAATTTTTCTATCTGCAACTGAAGTAACTTTCATATTTAGATATCGTCTTCAAAGATGATACGAAGCTGTGGTTAGTGTTCTTGTTTATGTATGATTTTAGGATGACAAACAGTAATGGTGCTAGGACTGTGCCTTGGGGTACTTACATGTCTCACTTGTGTTAACTAATCTACACTAATAATACTATTTTTCTCTCTCATTTGCATTTATTTCACTTAACTAATCAACAATACTAATTTCTTTCTCACTTACATATTTCATTTAATGTTAACTAATCTACGCTATTATACTGTAATAATATTGGTAGAATTACAGACAATATGTTAGGTAAAAGAACACATGTGCAACTTATGCCACAATAAAATCCTTTTACCTAACACTACTAATACTCGCCTTCTTTCCCACTCACATATTTCACCTAGGGACTCACGAAGTTGTAATAACGCGACTACAAACAAACCACGATACGGGTGGGATTAGAATCCATGGCAAGCCAGTGCGTAAGCCTTTAGGCCAACTGGCAACAATAAGATTCATCCAACTATGGTGTATAAATATACACCATCTTATTGTAGCCAGATAGTCCAGTGGCTTATGCACCCCACCTGTTCCGTGGTGTATTTCACTTATGGAATTTGTGCTTGGAGTTCAACCTCAGTTGTCCACATCAAAGCAATCATCACATGGTAAAAGCCAGGTATCGAAGCCATCACAGACTCAAGTTACAGTTAACACAGCATGCCCTTATTCAAATACCTAAACATTCTTAGTATTAGTCATACATACTAGTGTTCACTCAACATCTTCAAACCACTACACTATAATGCTGGAGACACTTCTTGGACAACTGTAACAGAACACGTAAACAACACAATCGTAACAAATACCTCTGATATCTCTCGCCTGAATTTTCATAGAATCTCGATGCAAATAAAAGGGACAAAATGTGGAATAACATGCCAGATGAACTAAAAATAGTAACTCAGTTAATTCAAACAGTCAAATAGATCGGAATACATGATTACTCCAGTCATGATACACTATGTATTATTCTCAAATAATGCTTTTACTATAATTCCAGAAATTACCGTTAATTGTAATCATATATTCAACCATTATTGCATTAATACTTACTCGTTTGCTTTTAATCTTCAAGCTGAATTGGAATATATGTTCTATGTGACGTCATAAATGTGATTCTGTGTCAAGTAATTATTTCATGCGATCCTGCGTCACGTAATGTCATGTGATGCATCACACATGTCTTGCGCCTACATGGCTCACTGTGGCATGACTTGCCTCTTCAATACCAATTTATAATTCTTTTCTTCGTTTTAATCTTGATTGACGACATAATATCAAGATAATTCTTGCTGCATACTTATGAAAGGTGTTCCACACCTGCTCTGCCTCTCGTCACTTCTTCCATGTCTGCTTCAAGGTGCTCCACACCTCCTGCTCTGCCTCTCGTCACTTCTTCCATGTCCGCTTCAAGGTGCTCCACACCTCCTGCTCTGCCTCTCGTCACTTCTTCCATGTCTGCTTCAAGGTGCTCCACACCTCCTGCTCTGCCTCTCGTCACTTCTTCCATGTCTGCTTCAAGGTGCTCCACACCTCCTCTCTGCCTCTCGTCACTTCTTCCAGTCTGCTTCAAGGTGCTCCACACCTCCTGCTCTGCCTCTCGTCACTTCTTCCACGTCTGCTTCAAGGTGCTCCACACTTCCTGCTCTGCCTCTCGTCACTTCTTCCAGTCTGCTTCAAGGTGCTCCACACTTCCTGCTCTGCCTCTCGTCACTTCTTCCACGTCTG